GTTATTTGTGTTTGTTTGATTATTATTAGAATTTTGATTTTTGAAAAGATTTTGAATTTGTGTATTATTTATTAAAATTCATTCATACATTTTTCTGGTATATTTACCTCAAATATATTATATAAATGATAACTCATTTTATAGTTTAATCTCAATTCAAAATCAAATATATTTATGTTTTAATAAGTTTATTTATTTCTTTTTTTTTGGTCAAAAATAAAATTTTTTATACATCAAGAAATACAAACTTTTTACACGCACAAATGATCTTTAATCTAGAAGACTACAAACTGATTTGTATACTTTATTACTTATTTTCCTGAAATAAAAAGATTTGTTGAACTTGTTTAACCTTTTTAACAGTATTCTGCATTCACATTTCATATTGATCAATAGCTATCTTTGTGAAATAAAGAATATTAACTCTGGACTTGTCTTTAAGCTCCAAATACTCTTCATGATTCATTTCACCAAACTTATTTCCAATACATTTTGATTGTCAATGTTTACTCATTTTATAATTGTAATAACCTTCAGATCTTTGATATATATATATGAGCTAATTACAGTTAAAACATATTGTTATATTTATTTTAGCAGCCATACTATAATTAAATCTTTCCATATATTTCATCTTTAAGGCAATAAGATATTGCTTATTATAATTAGTCAATTTATTGTTATTTCTATAATTCACTAACTAATCCCAAATTCAGTTTTTCCAATCTGATGGTATTTCTACATCACGAATTACTGGGAATTGGCAGTTGTCATATTATTCAATTTGATTTAAAACTGGAGAATTATTGATATAACCTATATTAAGTGATTAAGTGGTTTATAGTGTTTTTAGAGATTAAGTGAAATGTATTGAATTTGGGAATTTGATGAAAGCAGTCACTTCATGGCTAGACCTATTTACTTTTATTAATTTATACTCTAGAATATATTAGATTCAATTTTATGTGGATTTGAAATAGACTTATATTAAAGATCCAGTAATATATAAATGGCTGAATTATGTGAAAAAATTTTCCAATATATAGGTTTTGAACTCAAAGAAATTTATCTTCCAATCACAGAAGAAGATAAACAACTTTTTCAAGAATTAATAGCAGATCAAGAGGAAATAATTAATATTATAATGAATGAATATTGGTTTTTGCAACATTATGGACATAATTTTAAAGGAGGAAAATTGATCCAAATAATGTGGATATATATCTGCACTGAAAAAGATATTGAGAAAGTATTGCTAGAAGTAGAAAGATTTTAGACTGCATAGAAAAAGATTCAAGAATTTACCACTTGCACCAGTTATAATAGTTGATTAGATATTGAACACATGGTTTATTTTCAAATATAAGTATCCTGGAGCTAGCATGGTCATAAACTGAATCACATTATGCTTTGCTATGTGGCGAATACAATCCTCTAAATTACACAGGTAAATAGTTGTGAGATTTTTAATATGAGCAGATATCGATAATGAACTATTTTAACTGTAATTATTAATATGTATTTTCTCGCAATATATTGTTCAGTAATAACTTGTGTAACTTGACATTTTAAGCCTATCATGTGATATGTGCTATAGAAGGAATTTGAATATAATAGAATCTGCATGCACCATCTAGTTAGATTAATCACTTTATAATGTCTCATCAAAAAAATCGTGATATTTTATATGTAATAAATTCAAAATTCTAATACTAAATAAAATGGACAAACTTAGTTTCATGATTTCACCAAATGATCTATTTCACATGCCAGTCATTATAATATAAACAAATAATTATTCACTTTGTCAAATTGCTTCTTAAGCTGGCTGACATCATGAATGACAATGTTGATATCATGGTTATATTCATGAGTTTTGTAATAGAATTTTAAATAAAAAATAGTTTCCTTTATTAACTGCTATAAAATTACTCCAGATCTTGTCCCTTATTTAAAAGAGCACACAGTATGGTCTTATTTAGAATTTTTAAAATTTAAATGTGATGTTATTCTTTCCTCAAGTCTTTCAGACAATTGGAAAACTCTTGATGCCATCTGAGCTCATAAATTTTTAAATGAAGCAAAAGAACTAGACAAATGTAACTTTACAGCTTTGGAGAAGATAACGTTTTTGTATATTTTATAGTAATAGGGAGCTTCTGTCTACTCTCATCCAGATTAGAAGCATAGACTCTCATCCCACCCTAGTAATGATAGTAACAACCTCATATACTCTTATCTAGGTTTGGAGGTATCAGCTCTTATCCTAGCTCTATCATTGGCAACTTACATTTATTTTTATTTTCTTGAGAATATTTTTCTTTTGTTTATAACAAGGAATTATTTCTCATTTTTCATTGTTATTATATCAAGTGAAAAATAAATGTGCAAATACAAGTTTGCAAGAATACTGGGAAGGGGTCATATATAATCACGAAAAGGTGTATTTCCATTTTACATATTGTTATCATGTACTATTATACAAATATCTACTAAATTATTTAAAATAGATGACAGCTGAGTGGAAACATCTCATTGGAAATATGAGTTTATACGGGAAAGTTACAAAATATAACTCTCCAACAATTCGCTTTTGTTATTTAATGAAGGAAAGGATACCAACTTAGTTCATAAATGAAGTAATGATGAAGAAATTATGTCAACTAAATGGGTGAGATTATGAAATTTACAAATTTTTTTGGAATCAAATGATTTATTAATAATATTTGTGTAATTTTTCCAGACTAGATTAAGTAACAACATATTAATAAACTTAGATTTTTTATTTGGCTCAATTGAGGTTAGAGACAAAAAAATTTTTCAATAATTCTTGCTAAAAGTTAATCTAATTATTTTTAAAGTGCAAATTATGATATGGGTCTTGGAAATTATGAAGAAAGAACAGAAATTGATTCCAATCTATTTTTTCAGGAAAATGAGAAAGATTTAACAATTCCATTATCTGAGTGTTTCTTTAATAAAAATACTTGGGAGCAATGGATACTAGTCTCTGGCAAAGTTGTTAAGAACTTCTGGTCAAATTCACAAAAAAAAAAAATACCTTCTCAGGTAATTGTAGATAATTAATTGTTAATATATATGTTGGTACTAATTAATTTTTTTAGATCTAAAGTCTGAAAATTGTTCATTGTGGTTTTAAGATTGCAAAACTGGGATAGTGGGACACTAGCAAGTACACAGAAATCCAAAAATCACAAAGTGAGCAACTGTTTCCAAATGTTCAGTGCTTATAGATAAACTTTTAAAATTTGTATGTCTTTCTTTTTACATTAATTCTTTATTCTATATTCTTGAAAAGTTCTAACAATACACTTTTCAATAGGAATCACATGAATTATTAAGAAAAGCCATTGGAGAACTTAAGCTTTTAAATAATTTTAATGAAATTATTAAAGATAACAATTGAAAGCAGATCTTGGAAGGTGTTAAAATAACTGATATAACTTTTTTTTACAAGACCCTTTTGAAATTTTTTCCTTGAAATCTTATCGATATTGTAAGTATTATTTGCTATTTTTGATATTAATTTGCTATCTAACAAAAAAAATATTTTTCTTTGCATGAAGTCGACGGAATATTTTTTCTGATAATTCACTGACTCAACAACCGGTCATATCAGAATCAAATTATGGAAGCTATATAATTCATCTTTTCCTAGAATGTATGCTTTCTGAATTGGAAAAATCATTAAATTATTATATGTAAGTAAATAGCTTTTATCTTTATTCATGATAATTTTGTCAATAACTACTTATGCTTGATAGCTATTTTATAAGAGGAGAAATAACCCTGGCATCAGTTAAATTATACTGTAAAAGAAAAAAATTTATGACCGTGTTTGAATAAAAAGTGGATGGAGTTTTCTTAGCACGATTGAAGAAATCGTTCATTGAAATTGGGTACCTGGAAATGAGTGGCAGATATGGTCACAAGGATTTCTCCCAGCTGATATCGGATGGTTGTTGTAAGTAGCCAATTGGTAATGCCTATATGCTGGAAGAGGTTAGGAAACGATTTTGAGGGGCATCGTGTGAAACATACTCAAAATTAAGTGTCTTTTCTTTACACACTTATGGTAGGTGTAATTGGTTCTCTCAAAGCTTTCATAAATTTGTTACTTATACTTTACATTAATGAAATCAGATCAAACTATGGAGAATGCACATACCATCACATGGAATTCTACAATATGAACAGACACATAAGATGATTGCTTCTATCTGTTTTGAAGAAGAACAAAAATGTCTTTTTGATTTCGTAGTTGTTTTATGGGACCTCAAGATAATGTTCATTTTGATGAATTTAATCTTTTTTCATACTAGATTATCAACTTATTTTTATTTTTTATTTTATTATTAGCATTGATTGTTGGAAGTAACAGAAGTCATAAATAAATTACTCAAAGAATATAATGATTTAGATTCAAATGTATTTAATCTTTCTTCCAATATTCTTCCTTCCTATCCATTTACCTCCAAAAAAATGTGTACAAAAAAGGTATAATGATCACCTATGTAAAAAGTAAATCAGATAGCTCTTTCATTCAGTCTGGTTAATGAAGATTTTTTAATACACTGTTGACCGTGATTACCTTTACTAAACACGATTAATTATCAACTAATAACAAGGAAACTATTGTCCAAAAGGTCACAAAGCAATTGGACGAATATGTTATAGTTGAAAGGTTTTATACTTGAAGAGGTATAAGGGGTAAAGGATTTAATGGTACGGGTTTGTTCGAAAGAGACTAAGGTGTGAGGTTTTTTTAAAGGGGTATGGGGTTTAAACAATATGACACTAAGTCAACTAATATTCACACAGAATATTATAAGTTTCACACAGAAACTACAA